GAGAAAAGAATTTTTTTGAATTTAATAAATTTCTTTTTCTTTGTATAAAATTGCTTATTGTTATAATAAACTACTATGATATAAAGTAAAGTATTGCGAATTGGTATGATATTTATTAATATAGAAGATGTTCATTCAGCTCTATAGAGCTACTCTGTTGAAACTTCTTCATCTTATAAATAATTGTGCTAGTTCAAGACTTTTTTTATACAATATTTAAGAGAAAATGTTTATAACCAGCACTTTATTTATCATTTTATCTAATAATCGGTATATAGATGACTCTAAATACCTATAATAAAACAATTGATAATCTTATAATCATGATTTTGCAATTGTTATAAGTCAAATGGTCATAGTATTTTGTAGTGCATTAATCTTATGTAATGGTTTTTCAGCTATCAATAGATTTGGACCCTTATATGTAATATATTTTTTTAAAAAATTAGGCCCTTATATGTAATTATTTTTAATTTGGGCTTGTATTTGTAATTATTTTCACTTTTTGGGCCCTTATTTGTAAGTTCACCTTTATTTTATTTTGTTTTTCTAAATTTAATTAGATATATTAAAAGATTTGTTAGTGAATCAATTGTAAAAAGTATCTAAAAAATTTTTTTTTTAAAATTAAATTTTAAAATTGAATAAATTCGTATTGTTTAATCTTGCTTCAACGTTTAATTTAGTTAATATTTTGTAATCTAAATTTTTATGTATAATCCTATATAAAATATATAATAAATAATAGTAATTAATAGGAATAATAAATTTGTAAAACTAGTTTAAGAATTAGTAAAAGTATTTCGATCTTTGATCTATGAAATCTTAAATTCGAAATTTATTTGAAAATAGAATAAAGCTGAGTATTTGGTAACCTTATGTGGTTGAAACATTTGAATCTTTCAATCTATTTTTTCGATCTATAAGAATTTAGAATATAAAAAAATCGAAAACAGATAAAGCTATATGTCTGATAACGTTAAGTAGATTATTTAAAAAAGACCGGTTAAAAAAAAGGATTATACATGTTTAAAACTTGATGTTGAAATCAGTTACTTAAAGTATATCGATATATTAAATGTGAATTCGTAAGGCGGGTAGGCGCTACTAGCAATAAAATTAGAATATTAATTGCTAATTAGAATATTAATTTCTAATTAGAATATTAATTTCTAATTAGAATATTAATTTCTAATTAGAATTAGTCAAATGATAAATGTAAAAATAGAGTATTTTCAAAAATAGCAAGAACTTTTTTCCTAATTTGTGCAAGTAGATCCTACCAAAAAAGAGTATATATAGCAAGTGTTTTGCCGATCTTTGATTTAAAACTTGGTGAGTATTTAGTCCCCACTTATTAACCGTATTAAAGTTTATAGAAGTACAAAATTCACAGAATAGGAAAAATATTAGGACCAAACTATTAAAGGGGATAATGTGTATATGGCATACATTGCGTTAAACCAATAATACTTATCCAATTTTTGATTTTTGTACAACTTCATATGATTAAAATTCAAGTCTGAGTTTGATAACTTGCTCAACTTCTGGAGTCGGATAAGTTCAGACAGAGCATTTAACATCCCTACCCATAAGATATTGGGGAGCTCAGTGTATTATATAAATCAAAACTATATGTGGTGTTATAGAAAAGTCTATTATGACAGATTTTTAAGTGATTGTTGAATGATTAACTAAATAATATGTATTTACATATAAAATTGAGGTTGCACTTTTTTAGATGCACAGATTGTAATTTTTTTTTCTGTCTAAGGTTTCAATACAAATCGACTCTTGCTTGTTATAGCTCTAAAGCTATAGAGTCTTCTTTTTAATTATTTATAAGAGATTTTTTTTTTCATGATCTATTTTAATTACATATTTATTTGGTTGGTCAGACAAGATTTTAAATTGATTGGTAAGTTTTTCTTTGATTGAAGTATGAATTTCGTTCTATAGCTTGATTCTATGAAACTTATTCTTAGTGTTTTTAAAGTTTCGCTTTGGGATTGTGCATCGTTAGAGCTGTACATCTAATTAAACCCAAGAAATATAGGTATCTATAAGTCATATAAATACCGGTTTCATTTAAAAAATACACGTCTTAAAAACGTCAAAAACAACTCAAAAAAAAGGAAATATCTAATGAAGAGATATCCGAATATTCACAAAAAACCCAATTAATTTTAACCATACAACAATTACCTGAAGAAGAATTATCTTCGGCAAATAATCTTATTTCTATTATGTGATATCTGAAGGATCCAAACAAGAGAAGAATAATTTCTCTATACTTGCAAAAAAAAACATACAATTACCTTGTCCAAAGTCTTTATAAACCTCAATCAGACTATTCTTCATTACAAA